CCTAGGCGAAGTTTCAGCAAAATTCACGATTTTCATTTTTGGGTCAGCTAATGTGGTGTAGATCATTTACAATCAAAAATAATTCGCTTGAATATTTTATAACTCATTTCTGTATTTAAGCCTGCGACACACGGCAGTATTTGCTCCTTTCAGATCTACAGAAAAAAATACATCGTAATTAATCGAATAAAAATGTAGATAACAATAATAACAACGTGAAAAAACTCATATCCTCCACAAACTCAACAAATTGGATGCACCACCTACGCAGACAATGGACGCGCCGCCGATGAATCGCTTACATTGATAAACAGGTTCACTAGAATAAAACAACTTAACTGTAAACAATACATCGATAAGAACGTCTAGTGGAACAAAATAAGTGTATACCCTACAATCTAGCTGAGCCAACTGGGAGAAAGGATTGAAACGGAATCATAGCCCTGTGACTGTACCGAAGGTGAAAGGGCATGTGGTGACAGAACAGTAGCGGAAAAGAATGGCGGTGAGCAGATAGCCGGCGAGAGAATAAACGGTGAAAGAATTACAGGTGATAAAGCACTGGGATTGAGAATAAATGGATTGAGTACGTATGGAGATAAAATCATAGGATTCAAAACCGCAGGCGAAAGCACAGCTGGCGACAACACTAAAGGAGAAAGGATTGTGGGAGAAAGTACACCTGGACTCAGGACGGTGGGGCCCAGAACAATTGGGTTGAGAATGACCGGTGAGAGAAGATATGGGGACAATATTGTTGGACAAAGCACTTTTGGAGAGAGGATAGTCGGGACGAAAACCCATGGCGAAAGTATAAAACCGCCGAGAATGGTTGGCGACAATATGACAGGGTCAAACAGCAGTGGAGACAAGATGAAAGGTTCCGACACACTGGGACTAAGGACCACTGGGGCAAATACGCTTGGCGAAAGCGTAATGTCCTTCCGCCGTGATATCTCGAACTTGATCGTCTCAGCAGCAATTTCACGAATAGTTCTGTCCAGCAGTGCAGAAATATTCGTGTTCGATATGGTTGAAAGACGTTGGTGGGTTTCGGCGTCGTGAAATGGTGACCCGCGACCGTAGAGTAGATTCAGCTGCTTCTGGTTGAGGACTGCATATCCCACAGAATTCAAAGAGGCTATCTGTAAAGGCAAACTTTACTGGATGGCTCTCAAAAGGAACTGAAAGCAGTGCACAGATGAGTTGGAGTATCTGGACTTTCTGCATAGACGCTGAAAAAGCCAGAAAAAGCCACTATGGCAGCTCTGAGGTTTTTTTGCTGGGAAAATCCGGCTCTCAAACTCTCGCTCAGTACCATACTCACGGGCGCTGATTTCTTCCTTTGCAAAAGGGTACGGTACTGGACGAGTCTTTAAAGCTGAATTTCTCAGCAAGAATGAACCATTGAGCCGCTTGGACAGTGGCTAATTGTTCCTAATCACCTTCACCACAAAAAGCCGAATGTCCATGTTGTCTTTGATAATCTGACGAATTTAGTGCACATTCTGACCTGGTCGAAGCCTGTACCTGTTCGTCGGTGTAGGTTCTATGGAGTTTCTCAAATAATTCCACTTTTTTCGTTTCTTCTTTACCGTAGATCTCAGTCACGTTCTCCTTTGTAAACCAAAGAGGTTGCTCTTCATATAAATCAAAAGGACTATCCTTTCGAACATAATTGTACTTGCTCCTATCCTTCTGTAAGTACATGGAATCAGAAAGAAAGGGATTCATTTAGGAAAGTACCTTCATTCTCTCCACCGCCTCCGAAACACCAGAAGCTTCGATGATAAAGTTGAGCAAAGCCCAGTAATCTTTCTCTCCGAGACTTATAGCTTCTGCTAGACTAGTTTGCTTTTCCAGACCTCGGCCATCCTTGTGCAGAGCGAAGAGTGAAGGTGATATAAGAGTGACCTGTGAAATGTACAACACCTTTTTTGGCGACATAGCTGCAGAGACAAAAAAAA